GCAGCAAGGGCAGGGGAACTATAAAATTGCTTTAGAAAGCTTATAGTTCCCCTGCCCTTGCTGCCTGCAAAGAGCGATGGGTGACAGGGGGATGAGGTGGGCGTGGCCTCCAGGAGGAGCCGGCGAGGCCACGCCCACCTCATTAACGACTTGATTCGTAATTAACAAAATTTTGTAAATTTTGAATTTTTGAAATTGGAAATTTTGTAAGTCAAAAAAAAAAAACGAAACACCAATACTCCCTAGAAACGAAACGAGTTTAAAACCAAATTTTTCCTTGATCGCCCAAGCCTTATACACACAAACACACACACACATACTTTTATGGCATCTGATCTATTCTTTTTGTCTATTTGTGTATCAAATGGAAAACAGGTTTCCATCAGTTGGAAAAAAAATCAACTTCTGTCAGTGGTAGACCATAAATCAGTGCCACAGGTTGGAAAATGTGTCTGCTTGGTAGATATTTTCTCTCCAATAGAGCCATGATATAAACAATGTGAGTTTACTGGATAGTACCTTGTTCTAATTGCCTCTAAAATGGGAATACTTTGTTCAATTTCCCTGAAGTCTGGCAGAAAAAAATGGTTGGCAGGAATAACCATACACCTGCAATTTTCATTCCATCTGGGTTTGAAATGACGAAATAATAGCTGGCAGGAAACAAGTGGAATGGAATTAAGAATATTGATTTTTCCAAAGATTAATCTGATATTAACACAACATTGATTCAAATTTCGCAAAAGAAGTAAATTACCGCATCCCCCCCTCCAAAAACCCCCCAAATATAAGTAATTGAGAGGTTATAGAAAACATCCCCTCACACCAGGTACACATCTCATCAAGAAAATGAGATTGAACCACATTTGAAATATTAAGGTGTCTGACTTGAGTTGTGAGGTAACAAGTTTGCCACTCACATTGTGAAAAAGACTGACATAAAGTGTGTTTTCAGGTTGGCTGTAACACCAGGTTAAAAAATATCAGACAGCTGTATGATGATAAATGACCGGTGGCTTAGCATTCTTGATTGCTTTTGCTCATAAATCATATAGATTATCTATTGCAGGGGAATGTATTGGCAAAACTGATTCCATATTGCACATGTGCTTGTGCCGCTGTGATACCTTCACAGTCCTGCAATTAACTAGCAGCAGACAAAAAAGTACACATATGTCAATTTCTCTTCATATTGGATTCTGCATACTGCCCTTCCTACTATCTTAGTTATTTATGTGTTTTTAGTAGATGTCAACATATGGTGTCCCTATGCAGGATTTTTGTAGCATGATTTATTCAGAGGTGGTTTCCACTTATCCCCCTCTGAGACTAATTGGCTGTGAGTTGCCAAAGGTAATCCAATGGTTTTCTATGGCTAAGTAGAGAAGCTGGACCTGGCCACGGTGGTCGATGCCTTAGTTACATCAAGACTGGATTACTGTAATGCACTTGTTCTGTCGCACGCTGGGCCTGTAAATATTTGTCTTTAGTACAGGAATGTGTAACCTTTGCCCAACGGGAAGCCAGGGGCCCAAGGAGAAGTTGTCAGAGGTTTCCACTACAAAGAGTCTTCAGATGGCTTGAGAAGTACAACAAAGTCTTTTATTAATGAACAATCAAACAGGAATTTCTCTTGTTTTCAGCAAAGTTAAGCAAATAATTCCAAGCTTTTAGGAAACTGGTGAACTCCTAAACTTGCCCACGAAGGACAGGCAACTATCTTCAATAACTTCTTATTTAAAGGAAAAACCCCTTTTTAACTTCTCCCAGGCTGACTAAAATCCAACCCTCACTGATGTGGGTTCCGCTACCGGGTCGAACTGCTTCTTGGACACCGAGTGGACCTACCAGCAAGGCAGTGGATGTTCTCCAGCTGGAGTTCTTTAGTCTTTAAGGCTGTTTTCCTGGAAACTCTTAAAGCTGTAGGAATGCTTCCCTGGAGTTCCTCAGGAGACTCTTAAAGCTGTTCTCCTCTGGGAATTCTTAAAGATTGAAGCTTTTGTACAGGGGAAGTTACACACATCCTATACATAAGCTAACCTGGCTGAGACTAACTAACAAAATGGCTCACTTCCCTTCCCAATTACTTTGAGCAAGGGGCAGGACCAAAACTTAACGATGATGGACAGGTGGCCTACCCTATGACTGCAGCCAAAAGAAGCCGCCTATCTGCAGAGTCCCTGAAACGTATGACTACAAACAAACATTCAATACAAAGCAAACAAAATTGGAGCTCCTGGTACAGCTGTTCCAGAACAACACTGTCTGGGGCTGCCTTTGAAAATGGCTCAGAAACTGCAATTGGTCCAAAGATCTGCAACCAGGATAGTAACCAGAGCCAACTATAGGGAGCACATGATGCTCCTACTAAAGCAGCTCCATTGGCTGCCAATAAGTTTCTGGTCCCAATTCAAAGTGCTGATATCACCTATAACACCCTAAACAGTTTGTGTCCTGTCTGTCTTCATGACCGCATTCCCCCCCCCCCATCCTGAATGAACCAACACAGGTCCTAAGATCTGCTTGAGAGGCCCTCCTCTTGGTCCTGCCACTGTCACAAGTATGGCTGGTGGGGACAAGGGAGAGGGCTTTCTCGGTGTGGCCCCCTGGCTTTGGAACTACCTCCCCAGGGAGATTAGACAGGCCCCCACACTGTTCTCCTTTCTAGGAACTTGAAGACGTGGCTCTTCAATCAAGCCTTTGAGAATATTTAGCCCCTAGTTGTCGTATATAGTAGTCGCACATCCTCACTTTATCCCATGCCGTCTCTCTATTACTGCAGCTGGCACTTATTTTATTCCAATGTCTACAGCCCGGCCATGGTGGCAGTAATTTACCACCATGGCTAGAGGATCGTAGCTTAATTGAATCTGAATTGATATTTTTTATGTGTTTGTGTTTTATTTAGTTGTATTTTATATTGTGTTCACTTTTATGTTTGTGTTTAGGCACTTTGTGCCATCCGTAAGTCGACTCAAGTCCCCTCAGGGAGATGGTGATAGGATATAAGAATAAAGTTGTTGTTGTTGTTGTTGTTGTTGTTGTTACTATTAAGTATGGATTTTAACCCAGATCTCAAGAGTCGCAGTTCATCCCTCAAACCATCACACCACACTACCTCTGGATTTAAAAAAATCTAATGACATTCTTCTTACCCAAATCTCTAAAATCAGGGATGGGGCGGTTTTCACCTGTGAGCTTCATTTGGCTCCTAAGATGTGTTTTTGCAGGTTCTCGTCGGGGTTCCAATAGGCTTACGACTTCACCTAGGGCAGTGGTTCTCAACCTGGGGTCCCCAGATGTTTTTGGCCTACAACTCCCAGAGATCCTAACAGCTGGTAAACTGGCTGAGATTTCTGGGAGTTGTAGGCCAAAAACATCTGGGGACCCACAGGTTGAGAACCACTGACCTAGGGCATCCCACTTTGACTGGCATCATGGTGAAAGGAGAGGGGTAGCAGGCCAAATCTGTCACCCCACATGCAATTCCTTCTTAGCAATATTTTCCTCATCACACAGGAGAAGCATTGCCCTCCTGGAGAAAGCTCATGGAAGACTCCTGTTTGTTGTAAAGTGTCTAGTGATGCTTTCACTCCGGTTAGGGGTGGGGGCCCTGCTGGAAGTCACATGGGGGGGGGCACTCTAGGATGCTAAATTCCCCCTGTGTGATGAGGTCCCTACTGAAATCCCCAGTACTTCGCTAAAATATTGGGAAAACCAGCTTCTTTTTACAGAATGAAATAATTCTGATGACAGAAAAATAGGAAACTGCTATTTCCAAAATGGGCTTACTGGAAAAGAGGACTCAGCCAGAAGTGACCATGAGACATGATTGTCAGATAGCACAGCTTGCAAGAAAGTTGTGGGGAATAAAAACAGGCCTTTTCCAGATTTAGCTGCCCTGGCTATAAAGACATAGAAAGGTATGTGCTCCAGCCACATGGAGAGAAGTTAATTCTGTCCATTTAGAATGCATAAATTTCATTGACAAAAGAGCAAAAGTTGAGTTTATAGGAGTAAACACCACCAAACACTGAAAGTCCTTCATTTTCCCATTTTGTGAATGGTTTGAGGCCAGGCATAGGTATTCTTTAAGGCTTCCTCATTTATATTGCCTCAGCTAAAGCATTTGGCACAAGAAGGCTCTCAGAGTGTGGCACTGAACACATACAGATTGTGAGATACATGTCTCGAGGAGTCATTTTGTAGAGTCCTCAGCATTTGTCTTCCTTGGTAGTGAATGTGGAATCTTCTACATTCCTAAACCACTTAGACCTAATACGACTTGTTTCTTTGTCCAGGAGTAGGATAAGGAAGCTGTTTTATTGTTCCTTCTGCAGCTGAATTACGAAGACTCCATAGTAACATCTTCCATAATTGTTTTCTTTGAGCAGAAGTATTAAAAAGCAACATTAACATTTGGACAGAAGAATGAGTTTTAGACGAGGTTCACTTAAGGCCCTTTTATACTGCCCCTATATCCCAGGATCTGATTCCAGATTATCTGTTTATCCCAGGTTAACTGGCAGTGAGGACTCATATATTCCAGTTTAAAACAGATAATCGGGGAACAGAAACTGGGGAAAAGGGCAGTGTGGAAGGGTCCTTAGATCCAAATCTTATTGAAAGTTCTAACTAAAGTATACCTTTTGAATTAATGGAATTTAAACAGGTGTTAGTTTGCTACATTACAACTCGTTCAGCAGGTCTCTTGTTATTTGGGCCTTACCATAGGTTGGATATTCTTGTCATTTGGTGGCAATCTATTTTGAGTCTTCTAGAGCTTTGTGATCTGATTCAGTGTTTACATTATTGTGATAACAGTACTGCAGTGTACACATTATTGCATTTTTTCATATTACTACAATAACATTATTGAGATGTGGCAATAGGGGATCATAGATATATCTCAGATTAGTTTTGCCAATTCTGTTAAGTCCTTAAATTTTGGGTTTTGTTTTGCACTCCTGTTAACCATGATGGTTTGTTGCTCTTTGCAGGTCTCAAGCCTCTATCTCTATGACAGTGTGCTCATGTTGGCCAATGCCTTTCACAGAAAGTTGGAGGACAGGAAATGGCACAGCATGGCAAGCTTGAACTGCATGAGGAAATCTACCAAACCTTGGAATGGAGGCCGCTCAATGCTGGAAAGTATTAAGAAGGTAAGAATAAGCAAATGGAAACCAAATTTGCAGACTTATATACTAGAAGGAGATAAGACCTTTAGCCAAGAAACCCATCACATTATTGTGGTAGAGCAGGACTGAAGGATAGCAAGGGGCTAACTAGGAAATAGACTAGTGAGGATTCAGAGATTGATAAGTCGGTCAATGGTGCTCAAGGAAGTATGCAAATACTGAAAGGGAACTCTTAAAAATCCACTTCCTCACCCCAACTAACTTCCCTCGTGGCTTTGGAGAAGCAATTGTGCTCTGAGGAATAATGGGAGAATTACAGGCCATGGAGGATATCCACACTTTGAAATATCTTTTCCTCTGTTACTTGACAAACATGCACACCCCAAGGCACTGATTTCGTTTTGCAAACTTGCACATCTTGAGGCAATGATATTGCTTCTCTCTAACAGGAAAAATGAGAGATAATTGAGGCAAACTACCTTGGCACCTCTGTAAACTATTCCTACACTTGAGTCCCAAGACAGCTTTTTTTGCCCACTGTTTTCATTGTCTGGGGAAGAAGAGGGAAGAGTAAAACAGGCTAACCAGAGGTCACACGGGGTTCCTTCTGAAGGACTGGTTGAACCATGAATAATTTCCATTCCTTCCTCCTAACTGTGGAAGGCAAGGGACAAAGTTAGCCAACTGAGCTGTGCCCTCAAGAAGTGCTCCTTGAATCTGTGCTCATTTGGTCTCTTCTCTCCTCTCCCTTCTCTGAGTGGCCAGATCACTGAGAAGGACCTGTCCAAAATTTCTGTGGATCCTTAGATGGTTTAGGATGGTTTGAAATTTGCCCACAACCTGAATACTATTGGGAATCAAGAGCTGTTACGCTCAAAAATAACCCTCTCTGGGGGTGATTCCACCAAAAATATAGCAGAGTGCAGGATGCACAGTAAATAAGCAGCAGAAACTTACATGTAGTGAGCAAGGATTGACTTCCATTCAGCAGGATGGAACAGGATTGCAGATCCACAACTCATAGGATCAAAAATAATATGTTTATTAAAGATAAAAGAAATCCATTCTAGATAGGAAAGGTTCTTGGAGCTAACTAGCTTCACTGAGCTATCATCTAAGATAAAAGAAAAAGGAAAAATAATAAAAGTAACTATTTCTACTACATCTTTGCCTAGACAATGGCAAGGATGCTTCCTCACTCTAGAGAAGACAAAAGGGAAGAGACCTAAAAATGGAGACAGGCAACATGGCCAGCCCAGGGCAATAAAAATACCTTTAAAAGAGGAAGTTACGTTTCCCTATAGGATTACATTCCCAGGTATTCAAATGGGGAGGAGATAGTACCATGCAAAGATAAGGGAGACAGTTCCCCCTTTTTAACCCCTTCTTAACCAACCTAACTACAGGAAACTGGGGAGGAATGCCTAAGTCTATCTAGACTATCTACTAGGCCTGGGTAACAACGGAAAAATTTGTTTCTAAAATCGATTTGTATTTGGGGGGGGGGTTTGTTTCGATATTTAAAATAATTACAAAATTTTCCTTTTAAAAAGTTCGATATTTACGAAATTTCGTAAATGGTAAAAAATTAACGAATCGATTTCCGAAACAATAACGAATCGATTCGTTGATGGCGGACGCGACCGCGAAATACGCTAAAAAACCTCCAAAACCTTCTGAAGCTTCCCTCTCCCTCTGTTGTTGACTGTTGGTGTGATATTATAATTTTTTTTCACTAATTAAACCATAAAACTGGCCCAGACATGCGGAAATAATAACGAAACGACCTCAAAACAATAACGAAACGAATACAATATCGAAATACGAAGCATTTACAAAACGTTTTTGAAAATTCGTTTTTTTTTTAATAATTGCTCCAGAATGGTTCGTTATCGTTTTGTAATTGAAAAAATTAACGAATTATTAACTAATTACGAATTAACGAAACGAAACCGCCCAGCCCTACTATCTACCAATTGAGAGCTGGAGACTTGTGCAGTCAGGGATGAAACCCAATATATACCCTTTCTGATATAACATACTGAAAATAAGCTGTGGTTCTGTGCTATGCCTTAAGAATGTTTTGCTAAAATCTAATTTAAATCCAAATAAGATATTATTATTTTGTCTTGGCTCTGTTTGCAGTTCCTGTACAGGTTTAATGGTTGCACAACACTATAAGAAATTATAGTCTTTGCTTTTTCTCTAGACCATTGTGGGTGATTGTAGAGCTTTTAATGGACAATTCTACTTTCAGTTGTGGAGTTTTTAATGGGCAGTACTACATTCAGTTTAATCATATGCATTTGGAAGTCACTTTGAGATAAGTATAAAAGAAGCTTTGGAAAGCCTGATTGTTTACTGATCTTAAAACTGATGGAATTGTTTCTTTAGGGTCATATCACAGGACTCACTGGTGCCATGGAATTCAGAGAAGATGGAGCCAATCCTTATGTCCAATTTGAAATTCTTGGAACCAGCTACAGTGAAACATTCGGCAAAGATGTGCGGAGGGTAACAATGCTTTGTCTTTCCCCCTCCTTCCTCTTTTTTTTTCTTTTTTCACTGGAGGAGAATAATACTCTGCTTATCTGGGGAAATGCTATCATTTCTGAACAAATGGTAAAAGTGGTCTTGCTCACAATTCTAAAGTAGTTAGCTGTGGAAATAGTATTTTCTAATTTCTCACACATTTAAACCTTGAAAGATAACATTTAAGACTGTCAGGAAGGAGTCTGGCAAATTGTTCTCAAATGGGCCGTTATTCCTTAATATATTCTAATAGTGATTCTCGGAGCATAATAGTAGAAATGGTACAACTCTGCTCCTAGCGATTTCCAGGTGAATTATGGTGTAATTGGCATAAGTAAGGCTTCTCCTAGTCACGACACTAAGTGGAGCATTACACTTCTAGTCTCTATAAAATATTTCAGCAGAATCCAAAAAATGGCAAGGAACAAAGTGATTGTGAATGGTGAGAAGTCAAAAAAAAATAGAAAGAAAATGTATTCAAAGAAATAACTATGTCGTACATTACAGAAGTGTATTTGTTTTGTTATTATCCTCAAAGACAGCTTGTAGTAAAAATAAATCAAATATAATTGCATTGGGGCTGCTGTCCTGCACCTCTGCGTACTCTTAGCTTGATGCTTTTCTATCGTTAAACAATCTTGGGGAACAGGAAATGCACAGGCCTTTTCCTGTCACCTGTTTTTGTCCTAGAATTACTCCAATTGTTTTGCTTCCAAATAAAAAAAATATCCCCAGAATGTTGAGAGGAAAAATATTACCTGGAAATAGAGGGTAAGGAAAGCATTCGGCACTGTTTAACTTTCACCATCAGTATAAGGGTTTACAGAAAAGAAAGAACCATCTGGCTAATAGTACGCACAATTGTAGTGTAAAATGCAGTTTGTGTCTTAGGGCCTTCCAGACAAGCCCAAAATGCAGGACTGGTCTCACTTTTACCTGAGGCATCCAAACGAAACCAAACTTTACATCGCATTAATTAAACACCTGGAAAGAACTGGATTATATGAGTCTGCATTGCCATATAATCCAGTTCAATGCAGTTCATCTGCATTCTGAAACTAGATTATATGGTAGTATAGATCCAGCCTTGGTTTTTTTAAAATGGTTTTTTGCATTAGGACCAATATAACAGGTTTATGTTGTTGGTTATTTCTTTAAAGATAGATATCATTTTAAATATATTACACATTGACACAACACAATTTTTCAGGTACTACGTTATGTGCAACCTAAAGGAGGTTAAGATACTGGCAATCTCCTAGGTATTTTTATCCCTACTAAAGATATAAATTTTGCAAGTATGCAAGAGCATATAATTTCAGAAATTTTCTCTCTGCTCCATCAATAGAATGATAGAATTTTGCAAGTATGCAAGAGCATATAATTTCAGAAATTTTCACTCTGTTCCATCAGTAGAATGGTTTCTGTAATTTTTTGAACACTATTCATACTCTAACCCTCCTGAGAAGTTAATTTGTGCAAAAATATATAGAACCATCGAGTCCGGGAGTTGGAAGACACCACAAAGCCTATATAGTTCAACTCCCTGAAATGTAGAACTACAAAAATCGTGAAGCACTACTTTATTTAAAGACCTTTAAAGAAGGAGTGTCTTTCACTGTCAGAACAGCTCTTACAGTCAAGCAGTTCTTCCTAAGATTCTGGTGCAATCTCTTATATTTTCATTCCATTGGTTCAGGATCTAGTCACTGCAGCAGCAGAAAACAATTTCATTCCATTTCCTACATGACACTCAACCAGTCATTTAAATTAAAGATAGATATCAAGCGATTCCTCAGTCTTCTCTGTTTCAAGCAAAACATAACTCCCTAAGCTGTTTTTCATGTTGTTGTTGTTCATTCGTTCAGTCATCTCCGACTCTTCGTGACCTCATGGACCAGCCCATGCCAGAGCTCCCTGTCGGCCATCACCACCCCCAGCTCCTTCAAGGTCAGTCCAGTCACTTCAAGGATGCCATCCATCCATCTTGCCCTTGGTCGGCCCCTCTTCCTTTTACCTTCCACCTTCCCCAGCATGATTGTCTTCTCCAGGCTTTGCTGTCTCCTCATGATGTGACCAAAGTACTTCTACTTCGTCTCTAGTATCCTTCCCTCCAATGAGAAGTCGGGCTTTATTTCCTGGAGGATGGACTAGTTGGATCTTCTCGCAGTCCAAGGCACTCTCAGCAGTTTCCTCCAGCACCACAGCTCAAAAGCATCTATCTTCCTTCGCTCAGCCTTCCCTAAGGTCCAGCTCTCACATCCGTAGGTTACTACAGGGAATACCATGGCTTTGACTAGGCGGATCTTTGTTGCCAGTGTGATGTCTCTACTCTTTACGATTTTATCGAGACTTTCATAATTTTTCATAATACCTGGTTTTTAGGTCTTCTGTCATCTTGATTGCCCTTTTCTGGACATGTTCTTCAGAAGCCTGCTGGTTGCTTATGTTTCCACAAAAATGAATTAATAATTGGTAAGAAAGGCAGGGCAGGGGGGTGAATGAACTCTTAGTTTTGCTTCTGCATTTAAAAAGTTGTTTTTTAAAAAAATAAATAAAAGGACTCAGCACTTAGTAGATCCTGTGCTGACTTGTTTTGGAAGGAGGAATTTGCAAGAGTGAGAAAGGAGGAGGGAGGAGAGAGGTGGAGGAGGAGACAGGGAAGCAGCCAAAGGAAGACAAATTGCTATGTTGAATTCAAGTAAAGTTCAAGGATGAGTGGAGGTGAAACCAGTTGTATTTCTTCATTGGAGATGTTTGTGTACTCTTCACTTTTATTGTGGTTAGTGGCTGCACTTGTTGGAATTATTCCCATTCTCTCCTTTTCAGGATCATTTGTCTGCCCATCAAGTCATCGATTTTCAATAACTACCACCACGGCCAGGCATGTAGTCGGGGGGGGGGGGGCTTGAGGGGCTTCAGTGGCCCCCCCTGAAATTCTCATGGTGGTTCGCGAAAAGGCCTTACTGGTGCATTATTTAAACTGTTACGTTTATTCATATCATGATCTAATCATCATACTCAATATATCCCATATGCATGGGGGTATTGGGGTAACGATACAAAAGGTTTGCTAGGGTAGACCCTCTTTCACTCAGACTCAGCCCCCCCCCGAAACAAACTCAGCCCCCCCCCCGAATCGAAATCCTGGCTACGGGCCTGACCACGGCAGATACAAACACTTTCAAACTAGTTTGTACATAGCCCATTTCTGCTTTCCAATTTGGCAGAAGGGACCAATATTCTAGTAATGCCCATTGAAAATTTGTCTTTACAACTGCATTTGTATGCTGGTTCCATTTTATAAATCCAATCTTCTCAGTTGTTTCTCAATTTGCCTGGAACAATGTCAATATGACCATCTCAAACACATGCTGCTTTTGACAAGAAACATTCTGTTCTGAGTGATAATGTTTATTATTGGTTACTCATTGATACTATTTCATATAGTTTTTGAAGATTTGTTTTCTTCAATTATCATCTGTTTCTTACAATCAGCCTTAGTGTTACCCATCCTGCTTTCCAAAGGAATCACTGCTGGTAGTGTTAGTGATTTTAATCAGTATTGACTGAAACCTTGCTTTCTAATTCTGATGTTTTCGCTTTTGTAGCTATTTTAGAATCTCACCATTGGTTAAGCAGCTGATTTTTAAAAGTTCAGTACACTGAGTAGACAAAACACAGGAAACTTGTTTTGGTCCACCACTATTTTCACTTCCTGCTAGCACCACCCTGATCCACTCTTTTCCTTCAAACCCTGCCTCCATAGCCATCAAATTTTCTTTTTCTTCCAAACAAGGAGTGCATGGATCATATATGTTGTTTACAACATAAATGCTGTTCAAAGAAGCCTCCTGGAAGCATCGTTCTCTGTTATAAACAAAGTGTGCAGAGATGGAAGAGCATTAAAAAATCTTCAAAAATGATTGGAAAATATTTTGTTTTGGTATCATGAAGCTCTGGTAAGAGAAATACTGAGAAATTTAATGGGGAACAAGGAAATTGGGGGGATCTTGGATTCTGCTGCTACACTTACATAAAAACCCTGGGGAAGGAAAAGTCCAAACGCATCTGGCTGCTGAAGGCTAGGAAAATACTGAAAATCTTTGATTGCCTGACCAATGCATGCCATGCCATGCTTCCAGGCAGGCCTGTAGCCAGGATTTCAATTCGGGGGGGGGGGGCTGAGTCTGAGTGAAAGAGGGTCTACCCTAGCAAGCCTTTTGTGTCGTTACCCCAATACCCCCATGCGTATGGGATATATTGAGTAGGGTGATCAGATCATGATATGAATAAACATAACAGTTTAAATAATGCACAAGTAAGGCCTTTTCGCGAACCACCATGAGAACCCCCCGGCTACATGCCTGCTTCCAGGGTGTCCAGCGCACTATTGACTGGGTGAAAGGAAAACAATTTAGAATGACTAGGGACCTGGAGCTCTGCATCATTTCCCGAGTCCACAATACCCAGCTGCATTTTGGACAGCAGATCCCAGTTTCCGCCGCACTTCCCTATAATAATGATAACACTTTATTTGTACCCCGCTACCATCTCCCCAAGGGACTCGGTGCGGCTTACATGAGGCCGAGCCCACAACACAGCAATAACAAAGCAAAACAACAACAATACAAGCAGTAGATAAAACTCATAACAGCAAATAAACAATAAACATTAACAATAGCACGACGACATTTAAAAACTTATGGCTGGGCCAAATGTAATAATTAAAATTTTAAAATATACTGGACATGGCAGGTACAATATGATTAGGGTGGATTTCCGGGAAGTGATGGGCGTGCAAAAACAATCCTAGGTCATTAATAAACTGCAGTTAAGGACAGATTGCTAGGAGTTTCATAAACCTTTAGTTTTCAGGTGCTATGTTATGTGCAACCTAAAGGAAGTTCAGATACTGGCAATCCCTTAGGTATTTTTATCCCTACTAAAGATATAAATCTTGCAAGTATGCAAGAGCACAT